TGGCGATCTTATCTGACTCACCTCAGTCATATTTTCTCATTCCCTCAAAGTGTCGTTTCTGATGGACACTAGTCTGAGGCACTTTGAAAGAAATGGGAGTTTTTGTCACTCTAGAGCTCCAGAGCACTGGAACACGAAACCCACTGACAACTGCAGGGTTTTTCTAATCTGATAGCGCAGTAAGAAACTCCCTCTTTCCTTACAGTAAAAATGCTCAGTGTCTGGAATGGTTTGCCAATCTCATTTTCTCCAGTAAACAATAGGTGCTGGCAATTCAGACTGACCTTTAATTCTTCTGAACTGGTGCATTATTTCGTTGTGGAGAGCACATGAAAGATGAAAGGAGCCTTAATCATTTCACATCTTCCAAAAGCAGACCATGGGGACAGGGGGTGGGGGTTGCGGGAATGGGCTGGAAAAATGATCAAATGGGTACTTGCAAATAAATACAACACATTGTACAGGAAAGATTTTATGAAACACAATGTGAAAGAAAGATTGTGTGAAACAGTGTATTTGGAAGAAACACAATGCATATGAATTTTGTATGCAAACCAACATAAAAGAAAAAAATACCACATACTATCAGATTCCATAAGGGCTCTTCCTAATCAAGACAGATTAAGCAATTACGAGGTTTAGAGGCACTCCAGAGCTTCAAGAATAAAAAGTATTTGCCATTTTTGTGTAAAGTTAAGAGAGAAACATTAAATATATAGATGTCTGTGCACATCTTATTTCACTTAGCACCGTATTAAAACACTGAGTCACGCATTTAAAAAATTATTTCAGGGGCCAACAAACATATCAAATGATCTAATTTTCTCCATTACAATAAGGCAGCTTTTACTAAGAATTAGTCAACGAGTTTGGAAAACACACTGCAAATTAGGCTTTAATAGTTAAGAAATGAAATGATTATGGTTAGTAGTTAATCTTATAAGCCAAAATTGGCATGAGAATAAAAAACTTTCTAGCTCTTTCAATATACCACTGAGAATATGTACTTTGAATTTTTTTATACAAAGATTTTTTTTTTCCCTGTGCCATTTTGCACCCAGATGCTAACAATGAAGCCAGTAAGATTAACTGGCCGAGGTCAGGGTTATAGTTTGTCTCCAGAAAGGTTCCTCTGTGCAAGTCACTGGTCTGCACTAAGTAAACAGCTTGACACTGAATTATGATTCCATCAAATGAGTTAATGATTGTTTTTCAAACATCTGAATATAAATCATTTTGCCTTGCGTATAAAACTGCATACTTGTGATCCAAGTAAATGGCAGCTATATTACATGAACATTGAAATTTAACTAGTTAGAATGCATATGAAAATAAAAGCAAAGCTACTCTCCTTCCTTCATGCAATGTACTTATTAAGTACATCTTAAGAAACACAAGTAGATATTACAATTCATACCACCACCTTACCTGAATTTTAAAAACCAGAAAGGAGCATCTGAAGTTTTGTGGCAACTGTTTCATCAAGAAATGCCTTTGAAGTCAAAAGTCCACAAGGATGCTAATTAGCCAGTTACCACTGACTTTGTTTACAAAGTGTGTTGTTTGGTTTCTCCTTCATCCAGCCCGTCACTGCTTCTCCAAGCCTCAGTTTCTCTGTATGCAAAATGGACATGATTTTCCACCCCCACTAGAGTGTAAGAAGTTGATATAATTACCTAAAGAATCACAGTGAACACATCATCAATATTTGATCCCTTCCTTAAAGGAGTCCTGCGGGTACAGTGATTATAGAGTGCTCAGCTGCTAACCAAAAGGTCAGTAGTTTGAACCCCCCCCCAGCCACTCCAAGGAAGAAGGATGTAACAGCAGACTGCTTCTGTTAAGATTTACAGCCTGGAAAACTGTAAAAATAGCAATTATGCAAGTCCCTCGCTATATGCCAGGCACTTGTATATAGTCTTGGCTATGAAATCACCATCCTCACTGAAGTGACCTGTAAGCCCAGGCGATTTGTCAAGTAACACTGGGCCATCTCTGTGACACTACAGCAGCTCTCAAAGTCAGTGCCATCAGTTCAGTAGATGGGGAAAATTCCCACAGGAAGTGTGCACGCAAGTCATGTGCAAAGGCAGCCTGAGATCCGGGATGGGGCTGACTTTCAGTCAAAGTTCCCCTGCAAAGGCTTCGAATTAGTGTGAGCAGCAGGTGTGGAAGGGTAAAGAAAAGCAGGCTGTTCTGGGATGTGGGGCACAGATGCCTAAGGTAGCGACTCTTTCCAACCTCCAAGTTTGAGCCACTGTGAATAAGCAACTTACTGGCTCTCAAAACTTACTCTGGTTAGTGAGCACACCCAACGGTCATGGCTAAAGGGCACTAAAGATAAAGGGTCAGAAGCAAAGCAAAATCATAAGCCCGAGAATAAAAGGAGTGCCCAGCTGTCACTATAACCTTGGAACACCCTTGATTATGTGAAAGAAATTATATATATTAAAAAAAAGATTTCTTTCATACACAAAAGAAGGCAACTAAAAAGCACACATACCCAGATGGAAACAACAGGTTTACTAAGCTGTCAGCTGTTAAAAATAGGAACTACTGTCTTCTTTTTTTCCTGTCTTCTTTGGCTCTCTCATTCCCTGGCGGTAGAGGTCTCAGCCTGACAGGCCCAACAACCTGGCGTTAGCCACAGTCACTCAGTGTTACTTTTACCCTTGCTTATACAACTATAAAAAGTTTCCTTTGAATAAGGGACTGAAAAAGAGAGTATGGAAATGAGCACAGTAGATTCCCTCAATTCTGCACTCCATTGGATCAAATGTGTATGTTAGCTATTTCTGGCCTAGACTGTTCTTCTAGTAAATACATCATTAGCGACAAAATTGAGGCCCTTCAGAACAGTGGCAGGGCAGAGTTTACACTATAGTGCTAGTTTGTAGAGCGGTGGTAGAAGTTTGATCCAGATGTCTGTCTCTGCAGTCACCACCTTCTCCCAACCATCAGTCTGCTCCACCCAGGGATAATCATGACCCTGGTCAGAGGCGAGTGAGGGCATGCCAAAACCAAGGAAGCCAGATGCTGAATGTTAAACTGTCAGTTCTAAAATGGCAACTCAGTAAAATATATGTCCAATTGAAAAGTGAGTATCTCTCCTAAAGCGTAGTAAGAGGGTACAGCTGAGAACATTTATGCATAAAAAATACAAAATAAATTTCATGTGTCCTTGATGACTTGTTATCTTAGTACATGAAATACACAATTTACATACAGTATTCACTAATTCTACCTATGCCTGCCCATACTGCCAATTCTAGTAAGGTCTTTCAGTAGTAACCCTCTAAACTGATAACTGTTTATTAAAATTAAAAACAATAAACCCCAGAATCCACAAATTTGGAAGCTAATGGAGCCTGCTGCTTTCATTACATATATACCATATACTTTTACCTCAGAGACTTCTTTTGGGGCTCCAATATAACAAATGTAGGAATTTAATTTATAAGCCAATAATGGCAAAGCAAATCAGGAACTGCTCTTTACCCTTATATGAGAAAAACCAGTTTCTTCCCAACTAAACATACAATCATGAGTATATTTTAATAAACAAAACCAAAAAACTACAACAAAAGTTCACATAGTTGAAAATCATGAACAAAGTAGAGCAGTAATTTTTTAAAAATGAGGGAAAACGCTAAAATTAATTTTACTACAGGAGGTTATCCTTTAGAAACTCCAAATTTAGAGAAGTCATGTGATACTCCTGTAACAACTAAAAAATTAATACAAATGAAGCGAAGAAAATTGTTTTTAAATATTAATCTATACTATTGTACTGAGAACTTATTGGCAGAAATTCTCAAATAAACATAGAAACTGAAAAGTGTGGTTTTGCACTTTAATAAAAAGCTGATTATCAACATTAAATTGCAATTAATTTTAATTAGAATTTATAAGCTTAGAATAAGAACTTAAATCAGCTCATTGTATAATTTATTATTTTAATGTGAAACAGAGCTGTACTTCAAATATATGAGCAATGTTTGGTCTACAAAAATGTTAATTTGTGGCAGTAACTTTTAAGTGAAAAATCTTTCCAAATTTTAAAGCCACAGTCAAACTACATGTATATTCATTCTTGAGGAAAAGTTAATGGAATTTGAAATGATCTAATATACATTTTTCAATCCATATGTATTGATTTCTTTAAGGGACAATACTGGAGGTAGTCAACACTCAGAAATAAAATATTATTCCTATCTCAGTTTATAATTTAATGAATGCCAACAACACAGGCAACTTGTAGGATGTCAGAATTACAAAACTGATATATCTCTCAATTAATAAAGTTTGAAATAAAAGAACTGAAGGCATTCTCCAATTGTAAATTAATGGCTTTTAGGGAGGAAGGCAGTGAACTAAAGTACATAATGAAATCATAACATACTAAAGCCTACAATGAAAAGAAAAAAGTACTGGACATTAATTTTAAAAATTCATAAATTATGTTAAACAAATTTACCATATTAACTGATCTGCAGTGTGTTTATACATGCAATATAAATTACAAATATGTGTAATAACATTGCAACACCATTTAAAAGAACACAAAAATGTAGAAAAACCTTTATGATAAATAAAATTATTGCATTTAATGTCATTTTCTTGAACAAAACCCCAAAACCATCAAATTCCTTAATGTATCAAACAAGTAACACCATATTAAATTAGAGAAAAATGTATGCAGACACAAGCTTCTGATAACAGAAATTGAAAGTTAAAGCCATAAGTCTGTCTGATTTAGGTCAGGTAATCATGAACATAAAAGAATACTTAAAATGATTTTGTCATTATGAACGCTGAAGAAAAGCAATAATAGACAGCAGGGTTCTTTTCTACCATAAAATTATTTACACCCATTTATTTAGCTAGAGATACTAGCTTGGAGAGGTACTGGTACGTTCCATCTGTAATAACTGATAAGCAGTCACCTGTCTGGTATTTGGATCACGGTGAAGAAAATATTGTCGCATGAGCTTTTTTTAAGTCTCAACCACTAAGAGTTCAAAGTACTTTGGGAGGATTCTGGTGTCCCGGAGACTTGATGAATGCATTAAAATCAAGCAGTGTGTTTGTATTCTGAAAACACTCTTTAAGTCCATACAAATGGTCCTTGAACTATGGAGCTCAGAGTTCTACTGGCACTGTGACATCTGAAGAACATACAGCATTTGTTATGAAAGTTTCACACCGATTTTGTTTTGCTCTTTCTTCATTAGCCTTTGTGCTTCCTTTTCCATCTTTTTCCTTTGTTGTTCTGCTGCTCTCTTCTCTCTGTCTGCTATTTTCTGCTGCCTGAAATATGAAGAAAAAAAGGAAAGGCTTCATGTTTTTACTTAATAAAAGTAGCCCCTCGGTGAATTAACACAAATTTCTGAAGGCAGTATCTTTTACCGTCATCAAAAAGTGCCTTGATTTCCCTCATTGCTTTGAAATTTCAAAGCATTAAAAAATACTACTTCTTTTCATCCTTACAAAATGACTTGCAGAGTAGAAGAGACATGATGTTTTTAAAAATAAAACGAAGAATAAACATTAAGTGAATTTTCAAAGGATTTAGTACATAAAATTCAGTGCATACAAGCCCACATCTCCTGATCCCCTCTTCTTTTACATTATTTCCACTTAAAAAATACTTCCATTACACTATCTTTTTTAAAAATATCATTCAGAAGAGCTTGATATTGAAGATTAAATGTAATTTCATTTTAGTAGTTAAGAAAAATTAGCTAAAAGAAGCTAGAAATGTAAGGATTAACACTCAACCAACTGTACCGGTCAAAGGGAGAATGGTAGTCATTTACTAAGGAAATTCACTGCCAGTGAGCTGATTCCCACACACAGTGACCATCAGTGGGTTTCTACGACATGGACCTTTTACAGGAGGGGCCTTCCCATCCTTCTCCCAGAGAGAAGGTGAAGGATAAAAGCTGCTGGACTTTTAATTAGGAGTTCAACACATCTCACAATTCACTTCTCATGAGCCCAACTCCAATGTTCCAGAAACATTAAGCTTATTGGCTGATTTTTAGGAACTTGGTATTAGAGGGAGTGATAAATGGCAGAGGGCAGTGGGAACAGAAGTTGTTGCTAGAGCTGACGGGTCAGGGTGGAAAAAATAAGTATGGTGCTAAGATGAAGAAGGAAATGGTAAGTGAGATGTAGCAGACAGACATTAGGTTATATGCAGAGAAATTCAGCACAAAGTCCCTGAATAAAGAATAGTTCAAAACTAACTACACTGAGCAAAGTGTACATAGAGCTGTAAGTCACACATCTAAATGACTAGAGAGAATTATGGATGACCAAGACTCAAGAATATGCAGGGATTTGTTTAAGTAATATTCTGACCTTCACTATCAATTTAGTTACTAAAAAGAATTTCTAGAGAAACTTTTCATTAGCTCTGCTCACGTTCAAGAAAAACGAAAACTTTACATTAAAAAAAAAGCCCAAAGCCCAGTGACAAAATGAGATTTTTAGACACAAGTAACAGTTTAGAAATCACTACAGACAAATTATATTTTACCTCTCCAGATTCATGTCTGCTATTACTAACTACACTAAAATCTTTCTTAATAGTATTAATATGGGGATCAGATTTAGATGGTATGGAATATATTGGTTTTTATATGCTGTTGAGTCATTTGTGACTCATAGTGACCCTATGTACAATAGCTCTGAACCCTGTTCTATTCTGAGCCAAATTCATCATCTCTGACACACCCACCCCATTACTCTAGTCATGGGATCAATCCATCTTATCGAGGGTCTTCCTCTCTTGAGTTGTCCCTCCACCCTCCCAAGCATGACATCCTTCTCCAAGGACTGGTCCCTCCTTGCAACATGTCCAAAGTATGTAAGACAAAGCTTCAGGATCCTTACCTCCAAGGAGCAGCCTGGTTTCACCCTCTTCAGGACGAATCTGTTTGTTTTCCTAGAGTCCATGGTATATTCAATACTCTTCTCCAGCACCATAGCTCAAGGGAATCAATTCTCCTTCTATCATCTCTAAATTCTCAGTGGTCTATGGGGGTGGTAGTAATATATGGACACCTTCAGTGCCCTCTTGCTCTACTTATACCACATGTAGCACAAAGCTTGTCTATCATTGACTAATAGATTCCTTTTACCAATCGATCATTATTTAAAACACTAATTTTTTTTTTAAATTGCCTTTAGGAAGAAGCAGAAAGAAAGAAGTAAATTCTTCCTTTCTAATTAATGACACCAGTAATCACATTCAACAGTCTTGGCTCCAGCAGTCAGGAAATTAAAAGACTAATTGCATTGGGATAATCTGCTGTCAGGGACCTCTCCAGAGTACTGAAAAGCAGTGATGTCAATCTAGAGACCAAGGTGTGCCTAGTTTAGGCCATGCTTTTTGCAATTACTTGCTATGCATCAAAGAGCTAGACACTGACTTAACAAAGATAGAAGAGGAATCGATGCCTTCATATTGGACCACCAAGAGAACAAATAGGTCTCTCTTAGAGAGGGTGAAACCAAGTTTCTCCTTGGAGGCTAGGATTTTGAAGCTCCATCGCACATACTTTGGGTATAAGGCCAGAAGGGACCAGTCTTTGGAGATGGACATCATGCTCAGAAAAGTGAAGGGACAGCAGAGGAGAGGAAGACCCCCGATGAGATGATACAGTAATGGGTTTAGGTGTATCAGAATCAGTGAGACTGGCTCAGGACAGGGTACGGTTCACACCTGCTGTATATAAGGTCGCTATGGGTTGCAGGCGACTTGACGGCACTTAACAACAACAGCAACAACAACAACAAATCACTGTTGGTGTTATGTGTCATTCAGAAGTAACTGTTCCATAACTGACCCTCCAACAGATTTTCAGAGGCAGTAAAATGCTCATCTTTCTCCCATGGAGCAACTGGTGGATTCAAACTGCATGCCTTTGGGTTGGCAGAGGAGCTGCTTATCCACTAGGCTACCAGAGTTCCCTAGTAATCACTATAATCTCCAAAATATTTGAAGATATCTAGATTTGCTATGAGTCACAAGTGACTTGATGGCACCTAACAACAACATAAACTATTAGATGACTTGTCCTCCATGTATTTGTATTAATAAAAATAAAATATTAGACATGCAACATAAATGTTATGGCTTAAAACATTTCTTTATAACAAAACCATTACTCTTAAAAAAAAAGTCATGCTGAAACCAAGAAGGACCTGGCAAAAACAAAAATAGTCAAACGAAAAATCATTTCCAGTCATTTAACTGCACCCTCTACTGACTATTCAGGGTAACTGTAATTTATTGACACACTAAAGTAAAGGAGATGAGTGATTCTGTTAACAGAAAAAACACAAAAGAACTCCCAAAGCCAGTGCTGCCTGGTTGGTTCCCACTGATAATGCCCTGACCAGGCAGCGCAGAACTGCCGACTGAGTTTCTAAGGCTGGGCGTCCTTACACACGCAGTCAGCCAGGTATTCTTCTGCAGAGCTGCTGGTGGACTCATCTGGAGCTGCCCTTTTGGTTAGTAGTCAAGAGCTTTAAACACCGTGCCACCCATGGTTACCCCTACTATGAAAACAATCTTTTCAAATAAAAAGAACATACCACTGTATTTTATTGTATCATCATTAAATAGGTAAGCAATTTAGACACATTTAAATGATCAGTGACGATAGCTCGAAGATAAATTTTCTATTCTTTAACCTTACATAGCAGTAGTAGGCTGTTGTTGTTGTTGTTATGTACTGTCTGTCCAGTTGGAACCAACTCATAAATGCCCCTCCAGTGGGTTTTCAGACTGTGGGTTTGCAAACGAAGAGATACCTATGTTCCTCCCTCAGGGCAGCTGGTGGATTCCAACCACTCACCTCCGGCTTTGCAACATAATTCTCTATCCACTAGGGCACAAGAATTTCTTGATTATAAAAACAAAGACTCTAACAAACCATGAAAATAAACTTTAAAACCTCTCAAATATTTTCTTTACTGAAGAAAGGGCAGTTTCTGGCTTATTTTATCTCATGGAGTTTTCAGATGTATGGGATTTATGTACAACTAGAGAGTGAAAACATATAAGGTAAAGCAGTCTGTGTGTGTGTGATTATATTTTTTTTTCATCCAGAAGCGTGCTAAACTATCAGTTACTATGTGCTGTCTAGTTGGGAGATGGCTCATAGCTGATCCTACTGCAGGCTTTAAGAGGCAACACATAGCAGAGAAACGAACTGCCCATCTTCTTTTCCTCATACCAGCAGGTAGACTTGAACTGCCTGCCTCTGGCCAACAGTACAACTCCTTAACTACTAGGCCATCAGAACTTCCTTATTTGACCATACCAAGTAAAAATAAAGCTCCGATTTCCTAGAGGAATATATAGTGGACACTCACATTAGAGTAGCATTTTAAAAGGAACTAAGTATTAAGGAAAAAAATTTAAACTTGCTGACAGGGAGTCAATGTCAACTCACGGCGATGTATCACCATATTTTTGAGGCTGTAAATCTTAAGGAGAACACACTGTCCCTCATCTTTGTCCCATGAAGCAGTGGAGGATTAGAACTAACAACACTTTGGTTAGTAGTCCAACATATAACCACTACACCACCAGGGCTCCTTGAAGTATAACACATATACTATAAAAGGTTTTGTTTGCCATTAATAAATCTTTTTTAAAAAAATTCTTGGTTTCTGGAAATGACATTTTAATTATGTAAAAAAATCTATGTCATCTGAAATACAAAAAAATATTTCACATTATTTAATGTTCAAATGAAAACTAATGAAGACAAGACAGCATTTGGCAGAGAAAAGGGAGTAATACATCCAGCTCTTCCACTCTCTGTAATGTAAGTATCACTGACATACCTCAAGACTTCTTCTGCTTGCCAGGCCGCATCTTCTTCCTCCTCCCATGCATTGGTATTTTCTTGCCAGGTATCTAAGTCACCCAATTCAGGCTACAACAAAAAGAAGAAAATAAAATGATCATACAGAAATTTCTTCAGAAAGTTGCTAAGAAGGGTATATATTCTTGTGCTGTTGAGTACCTGCGACTCACAGTGACCCTACGTACAACAGCCCTAAATGCTGCTCTATCCTATGCTGGTCTTATTGTCTCTGACACACCTACCCCTTTACCGCAGTCACTCAATCAATGCATCTCATCGAGGGTCTTCCTCTCCTGCACTGTCCCTCCACCCTCCCAAGAATGATATCCCTCACTAAGGACGGGTCCCTCCTTGCAACATGTCCAAAGTATGGAAGATGAAGCTTCAGAATCCTTGCTTCCAAGGAACAGCTCAGACTCACCCTCTCTAGGACGAACCTGTTTGTTCTTCTAGCAGTCTATGGTTTATACAAAATTCTTCTTCAGCACCACAGCTCAAAAGTACCACTTCTCCTTCTATGATCCCTAGTCACTGTCCAGCTTCCTGATGCATAGCAAGTAACTGCAAAGACTATGGTCTGATTCAGGCGCACCTTAGTCTCCAGACTGACATCTTTGCTCTTCAGTATTTTGGAAAGGTCTCTGAGAGCAATTCATCTTTTAATTCCCTGGCTGCTTGTACCAAGAGGTTGACTGTCAAGTCAAGCAAACTAAAGCTGTGAACAATCTCAATCTCTTCACCATCTATCATGATGCTGCCAATCAGTCCAGTGGTGAGAATCTTTGTTTTCTTGATACTGAGCCTCAATCCATATTGAAGGCTGCAGTCCTTGACCTTCTGCAGCAATCGCTTCAGGTCCTCCTTAATTTCAGCAAGCACTGTTGTGTCATCTGCATAACACAGACTGCTGATGAGTCTTTCTCCAATCCTGATGCCACATTTCTCCTCATAGAAACTAGCCTCCTGGATAATCTGTTTTGCATAAAGATTGAAAGGGTATGGAGATAGGACACATCCCTGGCATAAACCCTTCCCAATTTTGAATCATGCTGTGTTCCCTTGCTATGTTCTGATGACTGCCTCCTTGTCCATGTATAAGTTTTGCATAAGCACAATCAAGTGTTCTGGGATTCCCATCCTTCTCAGTCAGTTTGTTGTGATCCACACAAACACAGTCAATGAAACACAAATAAGACATTCCTCTGGTATTCCCTGCTTTCAGCCAAGGTCCATCTAACATTAGCTAAAATATCGGTACTATCATGGCCTATTTTAAACACAGCCTGCACTTTAGGCAGTTCTCTGCTGATGTGCTGTTCCAATTGTTTTTTTTGGATAATCTTTGGTAGAATCTTGCTTGAATGTGATATCAATGATATTGTTCAATAATTTCCACACTGTCAGGTCACCTTTCTTAGGAATAGGAACAAATACACTCTTTTACAGTCAGTTGGCCAGATGATCGGTAATCATTAATTGGTATGCCATCAATTCCTGGGGCCCTGTTAGTTACCAATTCTTTCAGAGCAGCTTGGACTTCTTTCGTCATCACCACAGGCTCTTGCTCATATGTTTTTTCATGAAATTCTGTGTCTGCCAATTCCTTTTGGTACAGGGACTCTGTGTACTCTTTCCATCTTCTTTTAATGCTTCCTGGATCATTTAATATTCTGCCCAAAGCATCCTTAAGTATTGCAACTTGAGGCATGAATTTGTAATTTGTTCTTCAGTTTCTTCTGCTTAAGAAATGCCAAGCAAGTTCAGCCCCCTTGATTTTCTGACTCCAGCTCTTTGCACGTTTCATTGTAATATTTTATTTTGTCTTCCCGAACTGCCCTTTGAAGTCTTCTGTTCAGCTCCTTATTATCTTGACTTCTTCCCTTTGCTTTGGCTTTTTTCCACTCCAGTGCAATATTCAGTCTCTTCTGACATCCATCTTGGCCTTTTCTTTCTCCTGTCTTTGTAATGACCTTTGGCATTCTTCATGGATATTTTTCTTTTTAAAGTTTATTTTATTACTTTGTGTGTGTGTGAGTGTGTGTTCTATCAAATAGGATCTGACTGGTTCAGGAGGAGATTGCCCCTCCTTCTCCAGCAGAGCATCTGGTGGATTCGAACCGTGTACCTCTGGGATTGCAATGCAGCATTTTGCCACTAGGTCACTAGAGCTCCCTATGGATGATATTCTTGATCTTCTCCCACTGCTTTTCTGGCCTTCACTCACTAGCGTTAAAGGCTTCAATCCTATTCCTGAAATGGTTTTAAAAGTCAGGTGGGATTAGACTTAAGGTCACTTTTTGGTTCCTGTGGATTTAGTTTTCTTTATCTTCAGACTGAACTTGCACATGAGTAGTTGGTGGTTGTTATACAATCAGCACCTGGCCTAGTTTTCACAGCTTCTCCAGTAATTCTTTCCACAGATGTAATCTATCTGATTCCTATGCATACCATCATGTGAATGTTTCTTATAAAACAGTTGGAATGAATAAATCACTGACTGTGCAAAATTCTATCATTCTATGTCCAGCTTCATTTCTGTTACCAAGTTCATGTTTTCCAATTACTGATCCTTCTTCTCTGTTCTCTCTCCCTTTTGCATTCCAGCCTCCCATTATAATTAACTCAGAACTTCTCACTCCCCCATTAACACACTTATGTGGATTTTTTAACATCTTTAGCATAACCAAAAAAGGCCCACACAACGAGGCTCCTAGTTTTGCCTGGGACTGAAGAGTTTTTTGTGTTACAGGGCTTTCAGAATTAGAGCTGGAATACAGCCATCCTGGGAAAGTACAGCTCCCTTCTCAGCTCATGTTTTAAGGAGTACTCCTTTTGATTGTAATTTTTCTCCTTTTATTTAGTATAGAACAGAAAAGAATACATCTGTTTCTCACTTTTGAATAAGAAGGGAGAGTGAGGAAAAAAGATCATAGATTGAAGTAGAAACTATTTTTACTGAGGAGATGAACCAGAACAAACCAAAGATTCTGAACTAGCCCAGACATTTTCATTTAGGCATAGGTAACTTATAATAATTTCTCAGCAGCAATTATCAGAGTCTTTGGAAAAATGACAAATCAGAAATGCTTTCTTTGACTAGAATATGTCTATATCCTGCTTCCTTCTCCCTGGACTACTTATCTGATGTCATCAAGTTTCTACTCCACGCCACATTCTCTCCCCAAAAGCCACACCTGGAAAATGTTGCTTTTTCTTCCATGAACCTATACAAATGTTCAGTTAGGTGTGAAAGCTTTTATGGGTGTAAAATGAGCGGCATCAATCTGTGTGAGTTAAGTAGGCCTCTTTACATTTTTTTTCAAGCTTAGACAGCATTAACACACTCACGGACTGGTGGATGAAAGGCATATCTTGTGTAGCTGCTAATCTGCTAGAGAAACCTGTGCTGCCATCTGGGACGCCGAAAGTTAATGGTTCTCTCTTCTTAATAACAATCTAAAAAGGTGAAACAGAATTATAAGGTGATTTTATATATATCACTACTTAAACTAAATAAGCAAGCGACCACAGCAGTTTCTAAGTCATTTGTTATAACAAACTCTACCCTGCTTCTTTTAAAAGTGAAATGTAAAACTGAACAAACAGTACTGCAAAGAGTGTAAAAATTCCCAGGCAATTCTTATATTAATTCAAATGTATGCTAAAAAAAGTATATCTCACTTCTTTCAATCATTTTTGTCTTCTTTCTTCTTCTCCCTACTTTCCTCACACCAACAGTGAATACTCAGTTTCACTGCAAAAAATATGACCACAGGGTTGCAAAGTTTGGTGGGTGGGTGGGTGGGGAATGATATGAAGGATCCAGGTAAAAAGGCTGATGATGGGCAAAAACCAATGTGATTAATTTTGTAAACCATAATGCATGAGACACAATGTGAATGAAAAATAGTGTGAAATACAATGTCTATGAACTTTGTAACAAGCTAATAAGTAGAAAAAAAATATGACCACGTACCAGACTGTGCCAACAATACACCCTAAGCATGTAGACTGGCTATAAATGCATTCATTCCTTCCAACCAATAAGGGCAGGACACATTTGCTGTGTGTTAACTACCAGCATTTGTGTATAAAATCCTTTATTAAGGTTCTTTATCATTTACCAGCCTCTATTGAGAGCAGCAATCCGCTTCCATAAAGCTTCATTTAATGGTTCCTTGTAAGAATGTAAACGTTATCAGCCTTGACAATGTATATATAAATGTACAGTTGAAAATGCTGAAAGGCACAAGTGGGTGAAGAACCTATTAGGGTAGCTAATGTCCTCCTTTTATAAAGTATAAGAAATATTTTCAGTTTGAAGCAATGAACCTTTAGTGTATGCATGAGGCTTGCTTACGTCTTTGTTTCATTTTTTAAAACGGACACTGGCAAAGTAGAATGGAATCATAGCATTTAATATTTGAAGAAATGACAAGAGACGGGAGGGTAGTATGCAATTAATCTTCACATTTTATAGGATGAAGTCAATGAACAGTGCCTGTAAAGGATACTTCAAGGATTAGCAATATAAGTACATTATATATAGATATGATATCAAACACTAGAAGAAACCCACACAGAAAAAACTATGAGTGGCTGCTTCGGGGAAGCAGACCTGCCTATGAAGTGATATGCGGAGAGATTTGCTGCTTTTCATTTTAAATCCTATAATCTTTGACTTGGAAAAAAAAAAAGAAAAAAACATGCACATGTACTATTTTGATAAAAACAGTCTACCACTGTTCTCTTTCCAGTGATTTTCTACATTTCTAAGTAGAAAATCATATTTAACTTAGAAGGAATTCAGTAAAGAAATAAAGTAAGGGTGACTAACACAAAACACCTAACAGTTTAAGCCTTCAAAATTCTGTATCAGTTCTACAGTAGTTACAAAGGATGGCAATGACCTGTCAGTTGCAAACCTCAATGAACTTGTAACTCTTTTAAGGCTATAACTGTACAGCTCAGTTCAGCTTAGTTTCCATACAAGAGAATGATGTTTAAAATCTGTATAAAATGGGGTTTCAATAAATGCTCAGATAAAATTTTTAAAATCTCAGGAATACAACTTTTTATATCTATGACTAGATCACTTGAATATATATATATGTCTAATGTAACATGACAGAAAAACAAATTGATGAATACTTTCACATAAATATTAATTAAAATATCTAATCATTATTTATTTTAAAGTACCTCTAGAAATTTAAAAAATAGCTAAATGTCCTATAGCACAAATGATTAACGTACTTTCTGAGTTTTCCTTATATTTGGCGTCATGTCCTTAAAATAGTCAGGTTCCAATTGTTCCAAAGCATTCTGTGGTGCTGACACAGTCCCATTCCCTCCTTCAATCTTTACACTTGTGGGTGCATCTTCATCCCAAGAAGTCCACTCTTCAACATCTGTCTAAATTAAATCGATCAACATAGTCACAAAAGTGCAACCTACTCCTCATTTGCAAACTGCTACAAAAACTCATTTTTTAAAGAGAAGTTTTCTAACATTTGTAGCCACAGTAAAATGTACCGTTTTATATCACATACTAAAATGAGATTTTAAAAAACTATTGAAAGAAAATATTCTCACTAAAAAGCAGACATTCTGATATACTCCATTCCACTCTATTAGTAAATAGAACAGCAAATTTTTCTAAATCTGAACTGACATTTAGAACTATAAACCACAGGAGGAGGACTGAAAATTGTGACTTAATCCTAAGTGAGTTGACTGCCTGATAAAAACAAAAAGCATTTACATTCTGTATATAATTTAAATAAGATAGAGGTGCAAAAGCAAAATATTCTTATTACAATTCAAAACTATTCGATATTTAGAGAACAAAAAACAATTCATATGGGAAGAAGTAACATATCAACTTCCAAGGTCACATAAATGTCAGAATTATCTATCAAAGACTTTAAGATAGCTATCCACTTCCTAAATAAACTACATGCCTCCAGAAACCCTATGAACTTTGATAAATGTCGATAGTTGTAGAGGGGCTTCAGGCCTTTTGTTCATAGGCTTGCAATGAGTCATGCTCGACTCAAAGGCAATCAATAACAATATTATAAAAATACTCAAATAAGCAATTAACAAACACTCTAACAATCAACAGGAAAAACAGATAAACTCAAAGGTGGGGAGAAAAAGGAAGAAGCTAAAAAAACCCAGCGGAAATGTTGGAAATTAAAAGTAGAACAAGAAAAACCAAAGTCTTGGCAATGATCAATTTGAAGAATAGTGTCTGAAAAATGAATTCAACCTTAAAAAGAACTTACCTGCTTAGGAACTGATGAATAATCAACTGTAGTTGGCAAAGTTATTTGGTCACCACTTAATTTCCGTCCTCTGCCAGACCTGAAACAAAAATCAAGTTCTCTATTTCAAGAATTAGCAAACAAGAACTGGCAAACACATGGCAGACAGTAACATTTATAAGATCTCAATTTAAAATTCTTTCTTTCCATTAAGACTTGCTCATGAAGTTAAGATTAAAAGGCATGATTCAAACTCTGGTGGCCCAGTGATAAGAAACTGTGCTGCAGTCCAGATGGCACACAGTTCATATCTATCAGCTGCTCCCTGGACGGGGAGTCTCCTCCTGTACGATTTACTGCCTTTGAAAATTTGCTGGAGCGTCAGCTATGAGTCAGTCCCAACAAAACAACACACAACAACAATTAAGCTAGCATAGCACACAACAATTAAGGCAGCATAGCTTCTTTTTTACTTAGGACTCAGAATTACAGCTAAACTCAATTAAAAAAAAAAAAAGAAGCAAAGTTGTTTCAAATCCAGCCCCTTTGGGCACTGTAGATTCAAGTAAAGCTCTGGGCCACCTATTTTTTTTCTATTTTTCGGAGTGACTTGATGTTTACTTGCTTTTCATACTAGATTTTTTTTGTGTTAGAAGTCTTAAAATCTTTTTAATATGATGAACCAAACTGGTAAATTTTAAAATTAGGACAAAAAGTACCATACTAAAGAAAGCTCTCCGTTGTAATACAGTACACTGTTAGGATCATGGGCTGAGTAATCTGTTTAAATCATGGTTTTCAATTCTATCTCTACTAATTCTAACTAGAATGACTCAACCTCTCAACCTCAGGATCCTTATTTATAAAATGAAAATATTCAATCTGCTTTTGTAGGACTGCTGTCTAGATTTTGTGTGTGTGTGTGTGCCCAAGTTTATTGAAAATATTACAGCACAGGAGACAGACGCAAACGGCTCTACGTGGTGTTCTGAAATTCATCCCAACTGTGGGCTGAGTGACCTGAAGGTTGGACAGACTGCCAAAGTGCAAGAGTTTCAGCATTTCCTTAGTATCAGGATCTACTTCAATGATCTCCTGATCCAGGGCTAAAACCTCTGGTACATAATTCTCTCTCCTCCTGCAGCTTAATGGAGATACCTCTCACAGGCCCTCTCTGAATCATAGCCTGCTATCTTGTTCTGGAGTTTCTTGCTGGGAATAATGGCAATCTCCTTGCATACGTGCTTGTTTGTGTCAAAGTCATTACCCAGGAGTGTGTAGTATTTCTCAATGATGACCGGGGCCACCTTCTTCATGGTTTTGGTGCGAATTTGGCCCATGTTGGCGGGTCCTTGGTGAAAGAGGAAATAGGAAGTACTTGCTGTCTAGATTTAATAGCTATATTTAAAGTATTTAAGGCAGTGCCTGGTACCTAATAAGATACTAAAATATCTTATATATAATATAGTAGTAGCTACTATAAATGACTAACCTATTTTTAGGCCAAAATTATAAGTTTTTATAAACCACGCAACTCTCATGCATCATTTCATAAGTGCACTATACCTTATTCATTTTACATGTTGCTAACTTCAACTCTTTTTCTTGTCCAATAGATTTAACACTACACTGGGGTAAAACTGTTATCGTAGAAACTTTACTTAAAGTATGTATTTTTCTAAACCAAGTGCAACAGACAGTGAAATTAACAGGCTCATAATGGAAATGGGGTATCATGTTGAAACCAAAGAGCAGGACTGCACAAAGATCTAAGTATTACTCAGAATACTTAGTGCTGTTGCTGTTAGGTGAATCTTGTCCTATGCTGTGCTATCATCATCATCATCATCATCGCTGATACGCTTGAACCCGTTGCTACAGTTACCATGTCAATCCACCTTGTTGGGGGTCTTCTCTTTTGCCATCCCTTCAAGTTTCGAAGAATAATATCTGTTTCCAAGGACTAGCTTCTCCTAGAGACACACCAAAACATGTGCACTGAAGCCGCACCATTCTAGCTTCCAGGACCACTGTGGTTGTACTTCCCAGAGACATCTGTTTGGAGTTCGTTTGCAATCAATAAGATATTCAGTGTTCTTCCCCAACACCATATTCAAAGGCATCAATTTCTCTTCAGTCATGCTTATTCACTGTCTACCTCTCAGATGCAGAGCAAGTGACTCAAAAGACCATGGCCTCAATCAGGAGCTCGTTGGCCTTCCAACTGATACTGCTCTTCAGGATTTTGGAGAGGTCTCTGACAGTGAACTGGCTCAAAAAAACGAGCCTCCTGATCTCCTAACTGCTGGTACCAGGGGTGGTGCTTGACTCTCCAAGACGAAATCATTTGACAGTTTCAATCCTTTCGCCATCTATCATGGTGTTGCCTACTGGTCCAGGGGTTAAGACCTTTGTTTTCTTGATGTTGAGATAGAATCTATATTGAAGGTTATAATCCTTGATCTTCTGCAGCACGTTCCTCAAGTCCTCACTTTCATTAAGCAAGATGTGTCATCTGTACAATGAAGGCTGTTTATGAGTCTTCCTCCAATCTAGATGCCACATTCTTCTTGATAGAGTCCAGTTTCATGAATTAACTGCTTAGCATATGCTGAACAGGTATAGAGAAAAGATACAACCCTTTTCTGATTTTAAACCACACAGTGTTCCCTTGTTCTGCTGGGACAACAGCTTCTTGGACTCTGTATAGATTTTGTATGAGCACAATTAAGTGTTCTGGGATCCTCATTCTTCTCAATGTCAGCCACAGTTTGTTGTGATCCACACAGTCAAATATCCTTGCACAGTCAATAAAACACAGACATTCTTCTGTTATTCTCTGCTCTAAGCCAGGATCCATTTGACATCTGCCATGACATCCCTGCTGCCATAGCCTCTTCTTAACCTGGCATGAACTTCTGGCAGTTCCCTGTCCATGTCCCCATAAAAACCAAATATGACCTTGAGCATATTCCCATCTGAATTAAAAAATCATCTTAAGAACAGATCTGAGACATTGATCACCAATGATAGAAGACCAAAAAATGGGATGAAATCAAGGCTATTATGCAAGAAGAGAGCAAAAGGTCATTAACAAAGACAGAGAAGAAAGAAAAAAACCAAAATAGATGTCAGAAGCAACTATGAAATTGCATTGGACTATAATGGAGCAAGAGAAAGGGAAGAGATACCAAAGTAAAAGAGCTCAAAAGATGATTTCAAAGGGCAGCTTGAGAAGATAAACCAAAGTATTATATAGAAAAGAGCAAAGACCTGGAGTCAGAGAATAAAGTGGGATGAACTTGTTTGCTCAAGCTGAAAGAACTGAAAAGCAATTCAAGCTTTGAGCTGCAAAGCTGAGATACCCACGGCAAAATCCTGAATGATCCAGAAAGCATCAAAAGAAGATGAAAGAAATACAAAGAACACTTTACCAAAAAGAATTAATTGGTCAACACTGAAAAATTTTAAGAAGTCTCCTATGAGTAAGAGCCAATGGTAACAAAGGGAGAAGTTCAAGCTGTGTTGAAGACAGTGTCAAAGAATATGGCCTCAGGAATAGAAGGGACACCAAATGACATGTTTCAGCTAACAGATGCAACTCTGGACATGCTAGCTGGATGACTAGAAGAGATAAATATTTAATAAAAGTAGAAAGTGATGTTGATAAGTGCTGTCAAGACGCCTGCGATCCACAGCAACCCTGTGTACAATAGCTCTGAAACCTGCCCTGTCCTGAGCCTGTCTCATTAATTCCAACATATCTACCCCCATTGCCATAGTTACTGTATCAATCATCTCATCGGGGTCTTCGTCTCCTACACTTTGCCTCCACCCTTCCAAGCATGATGTCCTTCTCCAAGGATCGGTCCCTCCATGCTGCAAGCCCAAAGTATGTGAGACAGAACTTCAAAATCCTAGCCTCCACAAAGAAACTTGGCTTCACCCTAAGACATGATAGGTCTAAAACTACAAGAGGAAAAAAAAAATTTATATTTTATTGCTTTTACAAATCTCAAACTGAAACATATTTTGTTAATATTTGAAATCAACAAATAAAAATTACCTATCGTGTTAAAATAGGTCATGTTATTTCATTCATTATATTTAAAGCCCTACCTGTCATCTCTACCATCACTGCAATACCTCAGCACAGGCTGAAGATGCTTCCGTGTGACTTCTTAACCGCTGTCATCATCATCCCTGCCTCTGGGATTTTCATCTTCATCATCAGTACTCTGATGGCACACACAAATCCCAGTCTTTGTGAAGCCACCACAGAGGCTTCTGGAGCTCTCTCTCCCAAGTAGAAACCACCTACTTAAACACTTCTAAGATTTCTAAGTTTCTAAGATTTAGTTTTATAGTCAAAATATGCATAATGTGGTAACTGGTTAATTCAAGAGTTCTCAAAATTCAAATGTGAGGTATACAAAAAGCAAGGTTCTTTTTATGCACTTGAAAGCATAAGACTATAGTGATTCATGATTACTGATCATAGACAGTAGCGATAAGAAGACACAAATAGACTAAAAAATAAGCAGATTAAATACAGTTTAATGATTTCATATAAGATGATCTGGTAAGATTTTTCATATTCAAGTTCAGAGCCAAGAGCAATCATGAATCAGTTTTGCTTTATTTCTTCAATTAAAAAACAGATTTGGATGAGTACTGTGACAATTCCATTAATGCAGACTTGAGATTCCCACTAATAGCTATTTCATGCCACTGGCTTTGCTTTGTTTATGCCTTCAAATGATCACATGATTTTGGACAAGTTTCAGAAAATTCAAGATTCCAACTGATGACTCAAAAATGAAAAAGTTAAGGGATTTCATCATCAACTTAAATGAAACATGCATAATTTCAACTGTAGTTTTCCAATCATGTTGTTGTTATGTGCTGTCAAGTCACCTGCGAACCACAGCAACACTATGTACAACAGCTCTGAAGTCTGCCCTGTCCCAAGCCAGTCGCTCTGATTCTGACACACTTAACCCCACTGCCCTAGTTACTTTATCAGTTCATCTCATCTGGCATCTTCCTCTCCTGTACTATCCTTCCACCCTTCCAAGCATGATGTCATTCTCCAAGGACTGGGCACATGCCCAAAATATGTGAGATGGAGCTTCAAATTCCTAGCCTCCAAGGAAGAACTTGGTTTCACCCTCTCCAAGACAGACCTATTTGTTTTCTTGGCAGTCCATGGTATGTTCAAGACTTTTCCAATTATAAGGGTATTATAAAGTTGATCCCTGACCATGCTTCTATTTTTATTATACAAATAGGATCAAAAGTAAAATTTTTGAACTAATAAATAAAGTGGAAATTTACTTCTGGAAATGCACAAGACATGTGAGATATATACACTAGGTATACCATGCCAGAATTTATTTAACACAATTTCATAATGTTTGCATATTTCATGTGAGTGGGCACACTATTTCTGAAAAATATGGCAGTTATTTGCATCACTTCTAATTAATTTATAATCATCTAATTATCTGTGAGTCCACTTAATTGGTAAAATTACGTTTTTAACTAGGAAATTGGAATTTAAAATTCATTCATTTATGAGATGAACAGAAAAGTGTTATGATCTAATCTTAAATTTATAAATATTTTAGAAGGCAGCTCTGGTGGCCTGGTGGTAAGAAATTGCCAATCCAAAGGCAGACAGTTCAAATCTACCAGGTGCTCCAAAGGAGAAAGATAGGCTCCTCCCACGTGATTTACAGTCTCTGAAAACCCTCTGGAGGGTCAGCTATGAGTCTGTTCTGACTCACCAGTTCATAACAACAATATTCTGGAATATATGATAGATTTTTCCTCAGATCACTAACAAAATGTCCATTTCATTTAAAAGTCAATCAATACTTAATTTCCAAAACAGGAAATTACAATGACAACAGAAATTGTATTAATGTTTTAAATGATACACAATTTCTTGTTCTAAAAGTAATATATACTTATTGTAATAAAATATAATAAAACACAGATGTTGTTGATGATTGCCATTGAGTCGAGCACAACTCATAGCGACCTTATGAACAAAAGACCTCAAGACTGTTGATAGTTCTCCCCATAAAACCTGCAATTCATTAACACTACTACTGCTTTTAATGTCTTGCCTTCTAGACTCAAATTCATTCACTGCTCTAGAGTAAGAACCAACTGATAGGTGACGCAGGAGTGGGACTTCTGAGGCTGTAAATCACACAGGAGACGGCCCATCTTTCAGTTCAAACCTCTAGGGAGGTGCTATCTTTAGATGAATAGTAAAACTCCTAAGGACTAGGAAACCAGAGTTCTCTTACCTTACAGAATACCATTCCCAACCTGTTTATCTGCTTATGGGGCATTTCTATTTAGTTTTTCACATTTTTGTCATATTTGTGCACTTAGTTCACTGTTGTTTTTCCCCCTATACTCCCATATACTCCTTTCCAAAACAAATCCTATACTACTCCCTGGATAACTTCAACAGCGAACCACTGAAGCTTTCCTTTTCTTATATGATCTGGCCTTTTGAGTGCTCATCTCCTCTATATTTCATTCATTCATTCTCACTATCATACTCTAGATCTTTTTATTTTAAACCCCAAACTACTGCACTTCTAAAAGGCAGTTCAATGTCACACAATTTTGAAAATTTTAATAACCATTAAATGGTCAGCAAGCTAGAATTAATGTCTCCCAGCAACCCTTGCAGCTACATAATTATATGACTAAGTACTAGACAGTAGTCTGTTAGCAGAATTATTGTGTAACTTCCAAATTATGTCTGCTTTAAGGAGACATTATTTTCTCCTTTACTCTTAACATGGTGGCCTCAGGGTAAGAAGCTGTGCTGGAATCCAAGGCATGTGGTTTGAAGCACTAACTGCTCCACAGAAGGATGGGCATTCCCCTCCTGTGCAATTTTCTGCCTCTGAAAACCCACTGGGGGGTCAGCTACAGGCCGATTCTGATTCAAAGGCACACAGCATCAAGAGCACCAGTGGAGCAGGTGGTGCATTTGAACCATCTATTTTTGGGATTACATCACAGCTTCTTATGACAAAGTAATAAGGTCCAAACAGCTTCCTAGTTCCAAATATCCTAATAGTAATTTAGTAGCCACGTGAAAGATTAATAAACATAAACTGAAGGGGAAAAAAATCAAAAGTGACAATTTTTAAAAGATATATAAATTAAGCTTTCATAGATAGATGGATGGATGGACGGACAGAGAGATAGATAGATTTACACAGATATATAGAGAGAGAATGAGAGAGAATACACACATATATATGGAGCTCTGGTGGCAAGAGTCTGTGTCGCAATCCCTAAGGCAGGCGGTTTGAATTTGCCAGCTGCTCTGGAGGATGGTCAATCTCCTCCCGTGATTAATGCCTCTGAAAACCCCCTGGAAGGTCAGCTACGGCTCAGTTCTGACCGAGTGGTACACAACAACATACATATCTACTTTTTATATATAAATGTAAAGAAAAGTTAAATCTTAATTTTGCTCTTACTACTGGGGTGTGTGTACCTACTGGGCAGGTACTAGCACAACTTCTTAAATCTGGTAATATAACTGGACACTGCCACCCTCAATTCCTATTCATTTATCTGGCACAGCACCTGGTTTTTAAATTACAGCACTGACACCTAGCTTTGCAAAGACAGGATGCCACTAAAATTGTAAGCAAACAAATCTCAAGCATTTCCGAAGCTGAAGGGGACAGTGCATAATCTGCTCCTGCAGGTATGAAGTATCTACAGTCTGTAGTTCATGCACTGTCCAAGGGATGCTACTATTCTACCTCTGTAGAAACTGTTCACTGGGAGAAACTGTGAAATACCCGGTGGCCACTCCACAAGTCTGCTGCATGGAGTGTAACTGTCACTCCAGGGCGTGGGAGTGTTACAAAGTAAAGGGAACCTGAGTCCTGGGATGACCTACTAGCATCAAACAAAGTATACTGTCCTGGACACACACTCAGGAATAGTACTGAAGGGACACAATGCATCTATTTTGTTTAATGTGCTCTGTTATAAATTATTATAAGATATATAATTTCATCCCAACAGAAAAATAACACCACACTGCAACACAGAAAGAAATATTTATGCCTACTTCCACCTAATCATCTTCAAATTTTCTAATAATAAAACAATTATGTACATAAAAATATTATTTCATTATAAAGTCTATTTCTGAGATTCTACAGTATTAAGCATGCTATTTGAATGAGATGTAAGAATTTAAAAGAAAATATTTTAGAATTTTCAACATAAAAAATATGAGAAAGTAGAAATTAAAGAATGAATATTAACTGCAATCAAGATACTTAGCTTAAATATAATCTGTTCTTTTTTGTAGTTCCAAAAGAACAAAAGAGAGGTAAGCAAATCAGTGTGAATATAAAATAAGTTTACCTGCATATTAATCTTTTTAGGAATGAGAACACTGTGGCTAGGCAAGTGCAAACCTTAAATAACCGGAATTGTGTGATGGCCATGGTGAGAGTCACGATCTGTGGAAAAAGGTACAGAAGTAAATGTATTAAATTTCCTTCATCGGCAACACTAATCTGAAGTTGGGAAGCTCAGTTATGTACTGAAAAAGTGACTGCTGTATTTTCACTTCTCTGTACAAACTATATATAATACACTAAATTTAAAAATTAAAACGTAGGGAGCTCTGGTGCCCTAGTGGCAAGAAGCTGCACTGCAATCCCAAAGGTGTGCAATTCGGATCCACCAGAAGGAGAAGGAGGGGCAATCTCCTCCTGTACCAGTCGGATCGGATTCCACTGTACACAACAAGAAAAAAAAAATATTAAAATGTCAATCATAGCAACTGTTTGAGAAACTAGACTTTAATGAGGGAGCTCTGGTGGGCTCGTCCACAGGGAGCTGAGTTGCCAGCCCACAGATGATATTTCAGTCTGAATCCACAGGCAGCCTCAGGAGAGAAAGATAGGCAGTCTCCTTCTGTGTGATTTACAACCTCTGAAAACCTGCAGGTCAGTGAACTCTGAGTCAGTTTCAATTTGATGGCACTGAGAGGGTGTTTTAGGTTTTAAAGCGCTTTCAGCAGTCAAGAGAAAAAAACCTCAAGCGTTTCAAAATATTAACAGTGATTTTTTAAAAAAAAAATCTCATTTCAGTAACAGTAAATTTATTTTGTGGTCTGAATCCACCAGCTGCTCTGAAGGAGAAAGATGGGCAATCTCTTCCTATGCCATTTCTTGCCTTTAAAAACCTATGAGAGTTAGCTATCAGTCAGCTCTGACTCAACAGTACATACTAATCACAACTGATGGGCTAGTGGTAAGGAGCTGTGCTGCCAATTCAAAGGCAGGCAGTTCAAATCCACCATCTGACTCCATAGGATAAAGATAAACAATCTATTGTCAAGCAATTTACTGCCTCTAAAAACCCTCTGGAAGCTCAACTATGAGTTTGTTCAACCCTAACAGCACATAAAGCATATTTACTTAAAAAGTACACTGAGTCTTTTAAAGAAAATGAAACTATAGTTTGAAACTTCCCAGGCCAAGTTGGCTTACTGGTAGATTTTATTAGACACTTAAGAAAGAAACTCTATCGTTTATGGACAAGCTGTCCAAAAATTGAAGAAGTATTTCCAACTCATCTTTTGAAGCCAGCATATACTGAATATCAACAAAGATATTATAAGAAAACAAAAATCATAGGCCATATTTCATGAACACGGACTCATAAACTCTCTAAGAATATATTCATAAACTGAAATCAGCTTAAAAAAAGATCCATTTTACCCAAACAGCACACATTACCTGATTGCCAACTATTCATTCCCTCCCCTAAGAAAGTACATTTGTAAACACACTATGCTATTTTTTTTAAGCAATATGCAAAATAAAGCTGTCATGGCAAAGTGTATGAATATACCTCCTAGGGCAGGGAGTAGCTGACAAATAACCACGGAGTGTGTGCTTCCTCTGTGAAAATACTGTATAATATATCATAAGTAAGTGGGGCTGAGCCAAGGAATGCAAGGCTGGTTTAATACTGAGATGTAAACAGGTCTGTCCTGGAGAGGGTGAAACCAAGCAGATACTTGGAGACCAGGATTCTGAAGTTTCGTCTGACATACTTTGGGCATGTTGCAAGGAGGGACTGGTCCTCGGAGAGGGACATCATGTTTGGCAGAGTGGAGGGATGGCGCAGGAGAGGAAGACCCTCGATGAGATGGATCAATTCTGTGAGTGGAGTGGTGGGAATAAGTGTGTTTGAGGCAGCAAGGTTGGCACAGGATAGAACAGGGTTTAGATCTCTTGTACATAGGGTTGTTATGAGTTACAAGCGACTCAATGGCACATAACAACAGCAAACAATTCAACAGAGGAGGGATAAAAATTCTTTAAAATGAGAGATGGATCCCCAAACCCAGAGGCTTTAAATCACACTGAAGACTCCTTATCTTTCTCCCATGGAGCACAGGTGGATTCAAACTGTCCACCTTTGGGCTGGCAGTGCAACTGTCTAGCCACTAAAGATAGTATATTACTAGTATTTAGAAACTGTCATTATTTCCAATTTTTCCTTCATACATTTTAGTCATCTATTGTAGTGTTAAGGGTTTGTTATTCAAAATGGTCTCCCTAGCCACTGAATGACTTTGCCCTGTGGATGGAAGGGAATATGCAAATAGGGTGTGTTAGCCTATGCACAAGGGGATGCTAATCTCACTATTAAACTGAGCCGATGCAGCGGCAGCATTTTAGAATCTTACCACCAGCAAAGCAGCAGCAAGATAATGAAGAGTCCTTCAGGTCAAGACTCTTGCACCAGCCAGACCTGGGCCAATGGGAGCAGCAGCCAGAGCAGCGGCACAGGAACCAGAGACCTGACATGGGCAGAGCTGACCTTGGGACCACTACTCCACAGAACCAGCCTCAAGAGCCTTCAGCCGGTGTTTGTTGGAGGACTAACGTAGGAGAGCCACAAATGGCAGGACTAAGAGTTTAAAGCTGTGAGGCTGAAGCCCAAGGTATCAGGGCGCACATTTCATAAGCTGTCCTGGCTGAGGTGCAGGAGAGGAAGACCCTGGATGAGATGGACAGGGGCAGTGAGGGTTGGTGTGTCAGAATTAATGAGGCTGGCTCCAGAGAGTGCAGGCTTCAAAGCTGCTGCACAGAGGGTTACTATGGGTCATAGGCGACTTGATGGCACACAACAACAACAACAAAATGAGTTTTAGCACAAGTCAAAGTTGAACCAAATATATTAAGTAGCTAAGAATAACCATATTCAGAGTCTAAACACAAGTACAAAAAAAAGGGAAGGCAAATTGTTAGTCTATGAGATCAATCTATTTTCACCACTGGGAGATAGATAACATCTTAAATGAAATTAATCGTCTAGTGTGTAAGTCTGCCCCCATCATCACCTCCTCCCGCATCAGAATTGTTTCTGATAAAGTGTTTTAGCTTTTCTTTGCCTATTATCAAAAGGAAGAAAATTACTGAGCATTTACAAGTACCTAAACCCTATTAACTTGGTAATATAGAATCAGATTTCTTCATTTTCTAAGGGAGAAAACTAAAGAATTGACTAAATGGTAACTAATAACAACAAAGGACCCTGAAGTCAACTGCTCTGCTCACGGGAAGGTAGCAAGCTTATGACAGATTCACAACAAAACCTCAGGGGCTTCTGGGTCCACCTTCAGAAGCACTCATTACAACATGGGTTGTTCTCCTGTCAACCCTGACACAGATGCCCTAAAGAACTGTGTTGCTGTAGTCAGGTCCCATCAGGTCAGTTCCTATCCACAGCGACCCGACCACATCCTCACCCTCAGTCCTCACTATGGTTAGAGGGTCGTTGTAGGCACTGTGTCAATTCATCTTTTGAGAATCTTCCATCTCTTCACTGACTCTCTACTTTAAAAAGAATATATGGCCTTCTCCAGAGACTGGTCCTTGCTGATAATCTATCCACATCATGTGTGCCAATGTCCAGCCATCCTTATTGCCAAGGCAGATGCATTCTGGCTGTATTTCTTTCAAGACAAATTTGTTCATTCTTCTGGCAATACATGTATATTCAATATTCCTCACCAACACTGTGATGATTCAAATGCCTCAATAATTCTTCAGACTTCCTTAATCACTGTTTAACATTCCCGGGCATAGGAGGCAACTGAAAAAGACAAAAGCTTAGGTCAGGCTCACTATAGGCCGCAAAACAGCATATTTTTATCTTTCACATTTTAAAGAACTCTTTCGTACCAGACTGGCCCAATATAATTCATTGTTCGGTTTCCTGACTGCTGCTTCTCTAGAAACTGATTGCAGATCAAAGTAAAATGAAATCCTTGTCAACTGCAATCTTTCGTGTCTATGATACTGCTGCTTCTGGCTCAGTTGTTTTCTTTAGGTTGAGGTACAATCCACAATAAAAGGCTACATTCTTTCATTTTCACTGTTGTTGTTATGTGCTGTCGAGTCGTTTCCGACTCATAGCGACCCTATGCACAACAGCCTTAAACCCTGCTCTGTCCTGCGCCAACCTCACTGCCTCTGACACACCCATCCCGATTACCCCAGTCAC